AATTTCTTATACTTACTGTGACCTTATGTCTTTTCTTGATTGATCTGGGGGCAATGGCATTGTGTTTTTTTTTTCACATAGCCTCAAATTATCTTTGAAACATGTTAGTATACAAATAAGATAAAATAAAATACAATGCAAGTTTCAACATTAACATCAGTGTCAATAGACCATGACTGTTTTGGAAGATGCATTGTTGAAGGGAGGGTGGTGACAGTCACAATAGGAGGGCAGACTCAGGGTTATTACGTGTTAGGTCCTCTCAAATTGTACCTTAGAGGCAGCTCTTTGTGTGACCTTGTGATACTCTGAAGGCAAATTCTTCCAAGTGAATTTTGATATTTAGTCATATTGTCAAACTCTTAATCTTAAGCAAACATTTGATGGAGCAAAGATTGGGAAGGGTACAATTACCATGTGGCATTTAAGGTTCCCACCTACCTCTTGCTGTCAACCTGCAGCTTATTAGCATCTTGGCTTTTTCTAAGCAGTATTTCTTTCAAATGTAAACTTCAATGGTCACATAATCGGTTAAGTATCTCTGCATATTTATTCTTTTGTAGAAAATTTAATGCCACTTAATTTATAGATTATTTCTAATTGTAATTTTATGGTTCACAATTTCTGCTTAAGTTAATACCACCTGAATTCCATGTGGGAATAATGCTATATTACAAAATATAGAATATGTAAATAAGTTTTCATTGAAGAATTTATATTTGGTTTGCATAGTATACATTCTGGTGTAAATAATTTTATCATCTCAAATTATCTTGACATCACTATCCTACTATTTGGGAAAACATTTATTTCTGAGTTCCAATATGCAATGTACATATATATATATACACACACACATATATATTTTTACATACATATATGGATATACAAATGATAGAAAATATAGACAAATTTAGAAATTAAGAATAATCTTTGTTTCTAAAGTTGCTGACTTTTTGAGGAATAGATTACCTGAAAATAAGATCTATGATATTTGGGAGAATTCTCTACCTTGTCAGTCCAAAAATACTAGTGGGACACCTTCTGCATCATTCTCTTGAAGCAAGGTGTTATTGACTATTGAAATGAGAACGATATCCTTGACTTAGAGGAGGTTGAGCAAGACAAGGCATATGTACAAGCAACAGCAGAGTTGAGTGGAAGGATCAATTTAGTTATAAACAGTAGGAGCTGGGTTTCCCGAGAACTTTCTACACAATAGCTTCTGAGTTATGTCTTTTGGCAGACTCAATAGTTTGATCCTCTGAACAACTGATGGAGCAGATATAATTTTATTTCTATTTTCCAAAGCTGCAGGAAAGAAAGGTTCAAATATTCAGCCAAATTTGAATCATCAAGAAATGGCAGATTAAAATGTGAATTTAACTGCAATGTTCTCTTTTCCCATTGAATGTATTATGAGTAATTTCCTTAAGATTTTAGCTAAGGGAAGAACTTTTGGAATATGTTTGTGGAATAATTTTAGGGGTCATTAAAGAAGTGCTTTAAAATTTGTTTTTTGAGACAGTGTCTCACTACTTAGCCCAGGCTGGCTTCATCTTTCTGCCTCAGTCTGCACAGTGCTGGCACACATAGACATGTACCACCATGCCTGGCTCAGGACCTGCTACAATTTTTAAAGAAAAATGTTTGATGTTTGAAAAAGACTGCTAGCTTCAAAATCACTCAGTATCATACATTTGGCAGGTCCTTTGCAGAGTCCAGATAGTGGTAGTAACATATTAATAGTCATCTAAAAATGCACATACAGATAGGAGTAAATATATGAAAGTGACTGGAAGAATGCAAGTCAAAAGACTAGCTCTGGCTACATCTGAGGTAGGGGTAGAGTTGAGGGGTAGGACATTAAAGGGCATCTTTTGTTGCTTCTTTTACAATCTTTAAAAAAGACAACATTATGAGTGGCTCTAAATTTAGTGGTTTTATTTTTAAATTCTCAAAAGAATTCTAAAAAGAATAAAAACTGATTGAAAGACTTGATATTACAAATATTTTAATAAAACCAAACTATGAAATTTAAAGGTGAAAAAGCCTTAAAACTTATTTTTTTGTTTTGGAATCACAGCTAACACTTAGACTAAACCTCTTGTTCCTTCTCTCCCTCCCTCCCTCCATCCCTCCTTCCTTCCTTCCTATTATATGTTTTTTGCTGCAAAGGGCCTTACAGGGTGAAAGCCAAACTTGACAAATTTAGAAAATCTTGTGTTGGATGCAAAAAAATGTACTAAATTTTATATTTCTTAATGAATTCATAGGCTCTTTCCTTCTTAATCATTAAATTGTCATTGTAGGAACATATGTCATTTTTATTCTACAGTTTTACCTACCCCTCTGAACAGGATATTTTAGCTTAATTTCAGGAACATAATCTAGTAGTTTGTTTAGTGCCATCCCAGCCCCGCCCCCCCCCCCGCCCCCCCCCCCCGCCCCCGCCCCCCCCCCCCCCCCCCCCCCCCGCCCCCGCCCCCCGCCCCCCCCCCCCCCGCCCCCCCCCCCCGCCCCCCCCCCCCCCCCCCCCCCCCCCCCCCCCCCCCCCCCCCCCGCCCCCCCCCACCCCCCCCCGCGCCCCCCCCCCCCCCCCCCCCCCCCCCCCCCCCCCCCCCCCCCCCCCCCCCCCCCCCCCCGCCCCCCCCCCCCCCCCCCCCCCCGCCCCCCCCCCCCCCCCCCCCCCCCCCCCCCCCCCCCCCCGCCCCCCCCCCCCCCCCCCCCCCCGCCCCGCCCCCCCCCCCCCCGCCCCCCCCCCCCCCCCCCCCCCCCCCCCCGCCCCCCCCCGCCCCCCCCCCCCCCCCCCCCCCCCCCCCCCCCCCGCCCCCCCCCCCCCCCCCCCCCCCCCCCCCCCCCGCCCCCCCGCCCCCGCCCCCCCCCCCCCCCCCCCCCCCCCCCCCCCCCGCCCCCTCCCCCCCCCCCCCCCCCCCCCCCCCGCCCCCCACTCCCCCCCCCCCCCCCCCCCCCACGCCCCCCCCCCCCCCCCCCCCCCCCCCCCCGCCCCCCCGCCCCCCCCCCCCCGCCGCCCCCCCCCCCCGCCCCCCCCCCCCCACCCCCCCCCCCCCCGCCCCCCCCCCCCGCCCCCCCCGCCCGCCCCCCCCCCCCCCACCCCCCCCCCGCCCCCCCCCCCCCCCCGCCCGCCCCCCCCCCCCCCCCCCCCCCCCCCGCCCCCGCCCCCCCCCCCCCCCCCGCCCCCCCCCCCCCCCCGCCCCCCCCCCCGCCCCCCCCCCCCCCCCCCCCCCCCGCCCCCCCCCCCCCACCCCCCCCCCCCCCCCCCCCCCCCCCGGCCCCCCCCCCGCCCCCCCCCCCCCCCCCCCCCCCCCCCCCCCCCGCCCGCCCCCCCCCCCCCCCCCCCCCCCCCCGCCCCCCCCCCCCACCCCCCCCCCCCCCCCCCCCCCCCCCCCCGCCCCCCCCCCCGCCCCCCCCCCCCCCCCCCCCCCCCCCCCCCCCCCCCCCCCCCCCCCCCCCCCCCCCCCCCCCCCCCCGCCCATATTTT